GGTGGGAGTGATGTTCTCACAAAACAGATCACAAGAGTTTATCAGATTTGTTAAAACATCAAGATCATTTCTGCAACCATGAAAAAAACAAATTCCAGTCAGTTGGTTCAAAACAGCTTCAGTGTTTCAGCTGCTTCGTTGTTCCAGAGTTTAACAGACTTTGAGAGGTGTTGCTCCATTTTACATTTGGAACGATAGCTCGGCAGCAAAAATATGACGTTATGGTCAGAACGACCAAGAGGTGGACGTGATTTTGCTGCGTATGCATTTGGGTCACCAAAGCACAAGTCCAGTATATGTTGCTGTCTAGTTGGGAGTATTGATATATTTGGTGATATCACATCTGTTAAAATCTCTACTAAAAACAAAGGCTGTTCTCTGCTGTGATCAGCAGCTCTATTAAAACTGTCTGCTATTTTTCCTGCAGCCAGATTAAAATCGGGTCATGGCACATACATTAACATAACTGTTTTTTGAGAGAACTCCCGAGGTAGGTAGTGTGGTCTGAACGGCACAGTCAGCTCATAGTGTTCATAGCTTTATTTCTCTCCTACTGTAAAGTTAGTTGCCCACCTTCTGTTGACAGCCATCGCCCCCAATTCACATCTGTGTTTTTGCTGTGCCCCTGTCAAAACGTTAAAACTCTTTAGTCGATAGTCTGTATCATGTTGGATGTATAGAAAGTTCCTCGCTCTTGTTCAGAAGCAATCTTAGGTTTGACAGGGTTATGGCAGGTAAAGGGAACAGACTGCCTCTCCTCTGAAGTCTGTCCCGTATCCCTCCTCTGGAACTTCTTTTCCTCCATGTTTTTTTCTGTTTGTGCTCCCGATGTATTTTCTGAGGTGTATTCTTGATTTAAACTGGTACGTTCACCTGTTCCGGTAAAAGACAGCCGAGCTCCAACAGTGTCGAGTAGGTGAGCCTCTGGCAGAATTGTGAAGACGGTGCAAGTTGCAAACAAAATCCATTTGTGAGGCATAGGTTTATGATAATAGTCCATTTGCAAAGCAAATGAAACACCACTCCTGTCAATATATTGATGGCGCAGTAGAAGTGTTCCAAAAAGCAATAAAGATTAATGAAAACATATACAACGTGCATCAAGCTGTGTAGAGCTATGTCAGAGGTTGCTCAGACCGAGCAGTGCCTTCCTTATATGTTTGTTTGTGTTTACACACAACTTTATACATCCTGACATGTGCATGGACTATGGCACAAACAACCTTTATGTGCGAATGCCTTCATATATGAAGCCCAGAAACATAAGAGCAATCAGAAAGGAGCAGCCATTCATAAAATACAACAGAAGGTTCATTCATTTCTAATGAGTCCAATCAATGTTATTCCTGCACCATTTTCATCTTAAGGTATTCTTGCAGATGGTGATGCAGATTTTTGTCACAACCGATGAGCCAGCGTTGTACTTGTCTTATTTTCTTGTTCATATATTAAGTAAAACTTAAGTGGTGTGCTGTGATGTGATATGATCATATTTGGTTTCTAAAGACATCCATTCTTTTTCTGCATTAGGACGTTTTGTAGTTGCATATAAATGTTCTAAAACACAATATAATAGCCTGGCTCGATTCTCTCTCATAGATTTTATCTGATGCGTCCCATGAGAAATAAGATCCCTACTTATACTTTTAAACCCCCACCATACACACACACACACACACACACACACACACACATCTACCTATGTGGTTTTAACACAATCAGACTCCTATGCAGGGCTAAGGTTGTTAAAAGGAATCAGATATAAACTAGATTTTCTCAGACTCGTGTAATGCAATCGTCTGTAACTAAATTCTCTGTTTATGATTGATGGTTTTAGATTCTGTGGGGAATGTTTCAGCTTGGTTCAGCTGTCAGAAGAAAAATAAGACGTACTCTTAATGCTTTGTGGTTTGGGGAAGATCCGTTGTCCTTCAGCTCAACAAACAGTTGAGGGACATTTCTGTGCCCTCAGAAGTGAATTTTCTTTTTTGACTTTGCTCAGTTTGTGTACGTTACTTGTTTGTGATCCATTTTTAGTGGCACTGCAGAGTTTCACTGCTGGCATTCTGAGGGGCATTGTTCTCAACTAAAGCTCACTTCAGCACACTTGGAGATTAAGGCGAGGCCAAAGAGCAGAAATGACCTCGTCTGTTCTCAAAACAGGACATTCAATGTGACAGAGACATGAGTATGTGTAAATCTAATGTTCACACATGACAGCAATAATTAGGCCTCACCCAGTATGGAACTTCACTGGATCTGGTAAACTGTCTAAAGGCTGGTTGTATAAAATGCAGATAAACCACAATATGAAATATTATTTTAGTGGTATAATTTATGATTTGAACAAAGAGGGACTGGCAGCACAGAGATTAGAGAAGGCAACCCTGTCATCAAAAGGTCTCTGGTTTGAGCCCCAGGACCGACACCATCAAAATGTGGGTGGGAAAAGTGAAGCACCCGCCCAGCTAGCGGGTCACGTGAAAACTATCCACAGTAACCAAACGTGATTTTCAGAAATACACATCTGGACAATGATTTTGTTTTTGTTCCTCTACTACACCATAAAGTAATGCTATCTCAAGACATACGGCGTGGCACGGTGGTGGCAGTGCAGTTGGTAGAGCTGTTGTCTCTCAGCGAGAAGGTAGCTTGAATCAAATGCCTGGGGGCCTTTTTGGCTAGAGTTTGCATGTTCTCTTCATGCATATGAGGGTTTTCTCTGGGTACACCGGTTTCCTCCCACAGACCAGAAACATGCATGTTAGTCTGATTGGTAACTCTAAATTGTCCCTAGATGTGAGAGAGTGGATGCTTGTTTGTCTCTCTGTGTCTCTGTGATGGACTGGAGACCTGTCATGGGTGTCCTCCGCCCATCGCACAGTGACTGCTGGATATGGGCACCAGTGACCCCTGTGTCCCAAAAAGGAAGAAGTGGGTAAAGAAAATGGATGGATGGATGGATGGATGGATGGAGTACAAGTAAAAAAATCAGTAAAGCGCCACCCCCTCATGACAGACATGACATTGCCCAATCAGTTGAGAGGAAGAACAATCTGGCCAAAAATCTTACTTGTAAGTTGAAACTCGCAGGCAGAGTTCTACACATAGTTTTTTTTTTTGTATCAGTAAACAGACTCTTGCAAAAAGATTCACAACTTGTGTCATCATTTTATACAAATACTATTTTTTGCACAAACAAATTCACATCTAAACATGCACAAAGAACAAATTTATTTTAAAAGGTTACAAAAATGATTTACAACCACAAAATATTTATGACCAGACTTTGTGCTCACAGGAAAAAGGTTGCAGGTTGGCCTTTCTGTGTGTTGGCCTTTACATGTTCCCTCTGTGCATGTGTGAGTTTGCTCTGGGTACTCCGGTTTCCTCCCACAGATCAAAAACATGCATGCTCATTGATAACTCCAAATTGTGAAAGAGTGTGAACAGTTGTTTGTCTCTGTCCCTGTGATGGACCTGTCATCTGTTCACATCTGTTCCTGCTTCACTCACAGTGACTGCTAAAGATTGGTGTCAGCTCCTCATGACCCAGACACAAATTGAAGGTAAAGAAAATGGATGGATGATGATGATGTATCATTTTGGCAACAATAAAGTTGTTTTTCTCTGGATGTTTTACTTGACAGTGTTTAGCTTGAATAAGACTGTAATCATTTTCTGCTTTACAGTAGCTCAAAATACATAAAGTGTTGTTAATGTTAAACTCACTTTTTCATTCAACCTTTATTTAGACAGGTAAATCCCAATGAGCCTCGAGGACTCATTTACAAGAGAGACCTGATGACTTCTCTGGTTTGAGCTGACTGAGCTCAATGACTGATGATGTCATGGCTGATAAAGTATAACTACTCATAAATATCTGATAAACATCGTTTTAGAAATGACTAAACTAATCCCTTTAAGACAGAAAGACTGAATTCAGGAGACCATGGCACATCACCGGTCAAACCTGACAAACGTCCAGGAGAAAAAACAAATAATATAACATGTGCATCATCCATTTATTATTTGAAACGGGCATGGTCTTAACAAAAGCTGCAAAAAGCCTGATATGTCATGCTCAGCAAGTGTCCAAAAGATAGGGAGGACCAATTCATTTAAAATTTGATGTCACAGAACCTTGCTGTCTTATACTTTCAGCCTCAGGAAAAAGCTTCAAATATAAGAAATGGTGGTTGACAAGAGATGAGTGAGTGGAGGTGCTGATGTGAGCGGATCAGAGTGTAGCAGGTGATACAGACATCATGCGGTCTACACAACAGACCAGCAGGATGTCGATCTAAAAACAGCATTTGTTTGGTCCTGTTGGTCTTTGCACTGTGCTTGTTTTTACACAATCTTATCTGATATGTTTCTTGCTGTAAAGTGTCCCTGGGTGTTCTGAAAGGTGTTTTATAAATAAAATAATAATAATTATTAATATTGTTAATATCATTAT